TATTGTTTGTTTTAATATCCATTTTGTTTTGATCTATTTTTATTTTAGTACAGGATGAGAGATAATGGGTCTAGATTCATTCTTTTGCATGTGGGCATTTTCCCAAACACGATTTGCTAAAGAGGCTATATTTCCCCCAGCGTATGTTTTTGTCTCCTTAATTTCATATCCATACATCTGTTTTTGTGCCAATACCATGCTGTTTTTTATCGCTGTAGCTTTGTAATATAACTTGAAATCTGGCATTGTGATGCCTCCTGCTTCGCTCTTATTTCCCAGGGTTGCTTTTGCTATTTGGATCTCTTCTGTCCATATAAATTGTACGATTGTTTTTTTCTAGTTCTGTGAGGAATGCTGATGTTATTTTGATTGTCATTGTATTAAATCTATATATGAGTTTTGTTAGTACGGTCAGGGGGTTTCTTTCCATTTTGTGATGTCCTCTTTGATCTTTTTTTTCAGAGTACTATAGTTTTCATTATAGAGGTCTTTCACTTTCTGGTTAGATTAATTTCTAAGGAATTATGATTTTATTATTTTGGGGTTTTTTTGGAGGCAAGGTCTTATTATGTAGTTCAGGCTCACCTTGGCCTCACAGTAGCCCAGGTTGGCTTTGTGCTTATGGTGCTTATGAGCTTATGGCTCCTGCTCCAGCCTGCTGAGTGGTGGGATTACAGGTGTGTATCACTATGCCCAACTGATTTGATTTTTTTGAAGCTGTTATAAATGGGATTGTTTTCCTATTTTCTTCTTCAGTAGATTCATTGTTGCTGTACAGGATTTGTGTATTGATTTTGTATCCTGCTACATTGCTGAACTTGTTTATTAGTTATAGGAGTCTTTTGGTGGAGATTTTTTTTGGCTACGTATAAGATTATGCCATCCATCTGTAAGGATTGTTTGACTTCTTCCTTTACTGTTTTTCTTTTAATTCTGTCTTGTCTGATTTTGCTGGCTAAAGTTTCAAGAATTATACTGAACAAGAAGGTGATAGTGGACACTCTTATTTTGTTTCTGCTTTCAGAAGAAATGTTTTCAGTTCTTCCCCCATTTAGTATGATGTTGGCTGTGGATTTGTTAAAATTGATCTTTCATTTGTTTCCCAAAATAGTTCTCTAATATTTGAAAATCCTCTATATCTATTCCTTTTTTATATTTCAGTCTTTTACTGTTATGTAACTTTTCATCTCATCTCACTAACTAGATAATAAGTTACTAGAGGTGAGATATTTCATAAATGATACCTTTGAAAATATGTAGTAATTGGTAGGGTCACAAGATAAAGAATAAAATATTTAGTTCTTTGAAAAAGATTAATAAAAAACCATATAAAGATATATATTTATGAAGATGCAATTATAGATATATTTTCTCCAAATTCATGTATAAATTGAATGTAATGCTAAAAAAAATCACTGTAGGATTTTTTGGGAAATGTAAAATTGATTCATATGAAAGTATACAAAGCTGCATGGATAACTAAGGAAATTTTGAAAAACAAGGACAAAGAAAGGAAATTCATCCTGCTAGTCATCTAAACATTTCCAAATTTAATTGTATATTACCAAATTTAGTTATCAGTTAAAACAGTATATTGCTGAAAGAGGAATAGATAAAAGGGTGAGGGGAAACAGAAAAAAAAAAGACCCAGAAACAAACCTAAGTATATAAGTTGGTCTTTCATAGGTCAGCATGAGAAAGGCTGGACAATTCCACAAATGGTGTTAGAGCAATTGATAGCTCTTCTAAAAAATGATTAAGATTAGGTTCATGGAAAGGAAAAAAAATAAGTTGCAAGAAAAAGACCTAAAAATTAAAAAACATTCCAAAACTACCAGAAGAAAATATAGACTATTGAAGGCTCCCTTAAATAAGGAAATTTGTGCACAACATAAAAAAAAATCTAGATATTTGACCTCACCAAAATTTGAAACTTCAGGGGGGAGGTGGGTGAACCTTTGTGTGTGGGTGGTGAGGTATGAACAAATAAGATACCAAAAATCAATGGAGAAAATAGTACTTCCATTCAGTGCTTGCAGGAGTTGGTCATGGCAGGCAGTATCCAACATGTTTGTAATCCTTGCTTCCTTTGGTAGAGTCTTTTCCAACACTGAACTGGAGCTGGCTTGAAAGGATAGACTAGTGTATAGTAAAAATGATGGTGTGTGACTTCTGAGGCTAGGTCATAAAAGGAATTGCAGGAATTCTTGTTCTCTTGCTACCTTTTGCAGTGAGGATACTCAAGCAACCTATTGGAGAGGCTCACATGGTGAGAAACTGAGGACTCTAGCTAAGAGCAAACAGCAGGGTGTTCTTTTATATTACTTTTCCCTCTTTTATTTGGCCCAAGGCTGCTCTGAAGTCAGTTTCTCCCTCAGTCTCCACTTTTACTTTTTCAAATAAACTGTCACTGCTATAAATAAATAACTAAATAAATAATTCTGAGTGGTGAGACTATGGCAGTTGGTATGCTTTGTTTGTACTTTTCTGTATTAATGTTCTCAAATTATTAAAAATATACTTGAAAAAAATTTTTTTTCTTTTTATTGAGTTTATTGGTACAATCTAGGTATACAATACAGTTACATTCATTATTGGGATCCTGTACCTCTACATAACAGGTCTTGATTCTCATTTTTTCTCCCTGTCCCTGCCCTCCCTTCACCTTCTCCTCCCCTCCCCATTTACAAACACCTCATCTCCATTTACTTGAATAATTTCATAAGAATCAAACTTAACTCTTAATATGTTTAAGCAACATTTCTTCCTATCCCAACCTCTTGTAAACATGTTTACCAGCAACTGATTAAATCAGAGTAATATTCACTGATTGAAAGTAAAATATTCTTTGAACATCTTTTATACGTAGGCATATGTCAGGCCTTAGGGATAAATCTCTTCATAGAAATAGTTTTTTCCCTTAACAAATCTCATTTTCTAGTCAGGGAGACATAAAGGGATGCTTGCCCCAAAATAAACTTTGATAAATGTTATGAAGAAGAGAAAGGGTATCTTTGCTTTTTTGTTTTTTGTTTTTGGTACCAGGGACCTAATTCGGGATCTTGCGCTTGTGAGGCAGGCAGCAGCACCACTGAGCTAAATCCCCCGCCGAGAAAGGGTATCATGAAAGCCTACAATTGTGGCAGACATTATTTTACTTCATGTCAATGTATTTATAGATACAGATATACACAAATATTTATTGAGTACCTACTACACTAAATACATCGTTTTAATTATTTCTAATTCTTACAAGTTATACGTAGAAGCATTACTAGCTACCTTTTACAAATGATTTGAGTCATGATTAAACTCACTCAAGTAGCAAGAGTGATTCACATCCAATTCCAATTTAAAGTCTGTGCTCTTTAATTCTGATATTAGAGCCAAACTAGACTACTTTGACTCCAAACTGTTTCTAATCATTTACCCTTTTATTCTTACTTTATACTACCCTCTAGAACTTGTTCATTTTGAAGAGTGATCTTAGCTATAGGAACTCTTAATATACTTCTTGGAACATTTTAAAGTTGTAGTGATTAGTTTATCAGCAAATTCTAGAATCTGAGCAAGAGACAGCGACAACTCCTTGTTATTTATGGAGGGGTTAGTGGTGAACTTGTCATTCTTAAGCAACCACTAATAAGCCTGGTGGCGGATAAATGAGAGTGAAGAAAATGTTCCTCACTGTCACGGAATTTAGTCAGTTGGGCAGTCAGGCAAATAAAAATATGTATGCAATTTGTGTAAAGAAAACATAAAAGACCTAATTTAGCCTGGAGGCAGGTCAGGAAACCATACACACACGCACACACAATGTTTGGAGGGCGGAGGGCAGACCTTATTCTACCCTGTGGCTGAGGAGAGTTTTTGTCACGTTAATCCCCCCCCCCTTACATACACTGTCTTCCCTGCTAGCGTCTTTCTGTCAGACACTGCCCTCGGTTGTGACTGTCTACGATCGCGTCAGCCTAAGTAGGAGCCTAGGTTGGAGTTTTCCAGTTCTTGGCGCCCTCAGTGCCGACTACTTCATGGAGATGGCTGGCAGCCGGGTCCTTGCACATTCCTCTGCGGCCGCGCGGAAGGTGGGCTGGCGCCGCCGGGGTGCCCGGCGCTCCTACAGCTTCTGCAGCTGGAGCTGGGTCACTAGCGCTGGGCGCGCGTGCTGGGTTG